ATTCAGAGCGTAAAGCTTAAAAGCAATTTTTTTTCCCGATCCGTGTTATGCCTTCTGAACCTGAACCGACGCCCAATATGTCATCACCAGCCGACAAACTGATTGTCTTGAATGCTGGTTCTCAACTCTCCATTAAACTTGATGGAGACAATTATCCTGCCTGGAGAATTCAATTCATGACTCTTTTAACAGGCTATGATCTTCTAGGTTATATTGATGGAACTAAGCCTTGTCCATCAAAACAGCTCGCAAACGATACCGCCGCTGTCAATCCAGCCTTCACGAATTGGGTTCGACAAGATCAACTCATTCTACATGGTATTGTATCTTCGGTGGCTGCAACAGTGGTCACACACTTAGGAACTGTCAAAAGTTCCAATCAAGCATGGGAGATCCTTAAAACCATGTATGCAGGCCGCTCAAGAGTGCAGATTATTGCGCTCAAACAACGGATTTCCAATTTCAAAAAAGGAAATCAATTGATGGCTACATATCTACAAGGGATAAAGGCTATTTCAGATGAACTCTCAATCCTTGATCATCCCCTTGATGAAACTGATCTTGTTATTCACATTCTCAATGGTTTGAGTGCCGAGTATCGTGAAATTTCCGCTGCACTTAGAAGCAGAGAAAGTCCTGTTGCATTTGCTGAACTTCATGAAAAACTGATGGATTTTGAAATAATTCATCATCAAGCTGATCCACTTGCAGTTGACAATGTGATTGCCACTGCCAATGCAGCCACAAGAACAAAAAAATATCACCACAAAAACAACAATAACCGCAGCCCTTCACCAACTTTGCGGAATGGCGAAAGTAAGGTGGTCTGTCAGTTTTGCGACAAGGCAGGTCACACTGCTAAGGTTTGCTACAGGATTAAGGGATTTCCTAAACGAAACAGCCCTAAACCAACAACGAACTTTGCTCAAAATCGGGTTGCAACACAACATGGTAACTGAGTCATGGATACAGGAGCATCTCATCATATTGCTCAGGACCTACAACAGCTTACCTTAACAAATTCCTATCCTGGAGCAGATTGGGTGATTGTTGGTGATGGAACAGGTTTAAAAATTACTCACACTGGTAATTCTGTTATTAATACGTCTGTAAAACCTCTTCATCTTAAACAAGTCTTACGTGTTCCTAAAATTCAATCTAACCTTTTGTCTGTCTCCAAGTTATGTCAATCTAATTGTTGTTCTGTTGAATTTTTTGCAAATCATTTTGTTGTCAAGGACTTGACCTCGGGTCAACCACTGCTTCAAGGACCACTTAAACATGATCTTTATCATCTATCCAATGCATTTCGTTCATCCAGTCCAGCGTAAGCATTACATACAAGCATTCATTCTACATCTACATGGCATCATAAATTAGGACATCCTTCTTTCAAAATAATAAAGCATCTGACTGACAATCATCATCTACCAATAAAGCTTCCGACCTCACATGAGTGTACTTCTTGTCGCTGTGCAAAAAGCCACAAGCTTCCTTTTTCAAATCATCATCTCACAAGCAACAAACCTTTGGAACTTTTGTACTCTGATGTTTGGGGCCCAGCTCCTATTAGATCAGTAGATGGTTTTTTATATTATTTAATCATTGTTGATCATTTTTCCAAATATGTCTGGTTGTACCCAATGAAACATAAGTCAGATGTCTTCTCTATTTTTGTTCAATTCAAGTCCATTGTTGAAAAATCCTTTAATTTTCCGATTGTTTCTCTTTTCACTGATAACGGTGGAGAATTTATCAAATTAAAATCCTTTCTTGCCAATAATGGCATTTCTCATTTAACTTCACCACCTCACACACCTAAGGTAAATGGCACAGCAGAGAGGAGACACAAACATGTTGTTGAAACGGGTCGTGCTCTTTTGCATCATGCTAATTTACCCTCCCAACTATGGTCATTTGCTTTCACCACTGCTGTGTATCTTATTAACAGGATGCCTAAACCAATCATTAATATGATCTCTCCCTTTGAAATATTGTTTAAAAGCAAACCAGCTTATCATACACTTCATTCATTTGGCTGTTTGTGCTTTCCTTGGCTGAAACCATATATGCAAAATAAGCTCCAACCCAGGTCAAAACCTTGCATCTTCCTAGGCTATTCAACGTCTCAGTATGCATATTTTTGTCTTGAACCTGTGTCAAATAGGATATATGTATCTAGACATGTCCACTTTGTGGAAAACTCATTCCCCTATCAATCCCTAATTAATTCGTCATCTACTTGTCCTCCAATTCCATCACATGACTCTTCGGGACACAGTATTATTCATGTTACCCAAGATCAAAATTCAGCTCAGGAACCAAACCAGTCCCTAGCACATGAGTCATCCACCCCTGAGCCATCACTCCTGGTATCGAGTCCCACAACAGATCCGGTATCAAGTCCTCTACCAGTCCCTGAGTCAATGCAACCTATCGAGTCGTCTGTAACAACAAAGATACCAGTGACTAGTGATAACTTAACAAGCTCTATCACCAACACTGCATCTGATCCGGTTCCAACTTCAACGATAAATAATCCGGTTCGACGTGCTCCTATCGTGACAAGGTCACAAAATAATATATTCAAACCCAAGAAACTATTTATTGTCTCTAAACATGACATGCAGGAAAATCTTGAGCCATCTACTATTACTCAAGCACTTAAAATACCACATTGGAGAGATGCTTGTTCGGCTGAATTTAATGCACTCATGAATAATGGTACTTGGACCATGGTTCCCCGTCAGGCTTATACTAATTTAGTTGGCTGTAAATGGTTGTTTCGCATCAAAAGAAATCCTGATGGGAGTGTGGCACGATATAAAGCAAGGTTGGTTGCAAAAGGATTCACTCAAACACCTGGTCTTGATTTTAAGGAAACATTCGCACCGGTTGTGAAACCTCAAACTATTAAAGTGGTTCTCACTTTAGCACTTTCTCAAGGGTGGTCCTTACACCAAATGGATGTTAATAATGCCTTTTTGCAGGGAAAATTGACTGAAGATGTCTACATGCAACAGCCACCCGAGTTTATTCATTTTGAATTTCCTCAACATGTATGTAAACTCAAGAAGGCTATCTATGGCTTACGACAAGCACCTCGAGCATGGCATGATTCTCTCAAGGCCTTTGTTTTTTCTACTGGGTTTCAAACAAGCCTAAGTGATTCATCCTTGTTTATTTACAATAAACATGGTGTACAAGCTTTCTTATTAGTATATGTTGATGACTTACTTTTGACGGGCAGTGATACTACCTTTTTAACTCACTTCATGACAGAACTTTCCAACAAGTTTTCGCTCAAACAACTTGGTTTCCCTCATTATTTTCTTGGCATTGAAATGATCCCAACCAAGGAGGGTATGTTATTATCTCAACATGGTTATATTCGAGAACTCTTGGATAAGTTCAATATGGCTGGAGCAAAGACCGTTAACACACCATTATGTATGACTACTCCTCTCAAACTAAATGATGGATCAGCCGCTGCCGACTCAAAGCTATTCCGTAGTATCATTGGTGCATTGCAATACGTTACTTTAACAAGGCCAGATCTGTCCTTTGCAATTAATAAATTGTCACAATTCATGCATCAACCAACACAACTGCATCTCCAGCAGCTCAAGCGAGTATTACGGTATCTAAAACATACTATTAATCATGCTTTGCGGCTAGCAAAACCACTTCATCTCAAACTGCAAGCCTTCACCGATGCTGATTGGGGAGGTAATTACGATGACAAAACATCTACTTCAGCTTACATAATTTACTTTGGAGGAAATCCTGTTTCATGGTTATCAAAAAGACAGAGAACAGTTGCAAGATCTTCCACAGAAGCCGAATACCGTTCTGCTGCCAATACTACAACTGAGATCATGTGGTTGCTCAATCTATTGAGTGAACTTGGAGTACCATCTCAAGTACCTACTTTTTTTTGTGACAATATTGACACAACCTACTTATGCTCTAATCCAGTTTTTCACTCTCGAATGAAACACATTGCTCTAGATTATCATTTCGTGCGACAAATGGTTCAACTTGGAAATATACGAGTATCTCACATTTCTACAAAGGACCAACCGACAGATATTCTAACAAAGCCTATGCATAGAACCAGATTTTCATTTTTCAGAGACAAAATTTGTGTCATTGATGGTGACCCAATTTTGAGGGGGCATAATAATAGATAAGAATAAGTTGTTACAATAATTAAGTGTAACCAGCCATTCCTATTACTATGCATATGAGTTGGTATAGTTTGAATTATTCATTGCTTAATATTAGGAATCATCAATAGGGTTTTCTTAGGATTAGGAATTAGTTATACACTCAAGTATTATTTGTATCTATAAATACTCAGCACTTATGGCTGAAATAAAATATAAAAGAATCATTCCTTTTAGACGCTATTTGTCCACAATATTCCTTTGATGGATATTGTCCTTTAAAATTGCCTTAAAATTTTATATTGTTTCTAGAAATCATAATTAAAGAAAAATTAGTAAAAAAATCCTAAATTAATTAAATTAAATTCCTTAAGTCATAGGTGTCCACTTCATTTAAGATAAGTGATGGAAATAAATGTATACATGTACTTATCATGTTCTTAGTTTCTCTCTCTGTGTTTTATATAATATATGATATGAAGAATAATGTATTATTTATTTATAATAACTATTATGGTTCTACGAATAGTTAGAACAGTATTTAAAATTAAAGAAATGATTAAACATCTTAATCACTTATTATTTTTAATTGCATAAAAAATCTTCTTACCTCGTTTGCTAATCATGTCATAATGTAACCCTTCAATAGCTCAATGGGTGACCTATTATTCTCACATTCGGTTAAATTATATAATATTATTTTTATTGTTTAATATATTTTATCTAATCAAGATATTTTTATTATTATCATATATATCTTGTACGATGATCATTATAAATAGGAATTTATTTACTCATATTTTACTACAATATACTCGCAGTTGATCCAAAATGAAAATCAAGCTTCTTATCTTCATGTTTTTTCTCTGTGCACTAATTCTTATCTCTACTGTGGCAGTTGAAACATTAAAAGGTGGGAATCAATGTATATATAAAAATTATACGTGATTTTGTTTTTTATCTTTTATTATTATATTTAATAAAAGATGTTTGTTGATTTACAGTTGATGCAATTGAAGAACCCAAAAAAAATGTTGGAATGGATAGCTGGAGAGATTGGGGAGGCTCCTTCTGGGGAGAAGAAGAAGTGAATAATGGTGAAGGAGATAAAGATGGAGGACATGGAAGAGGTGAAAAAGGAAACGGTGAGTACAACAAAAAAGCTATATATTGTATGTCCAATTTCTTTCTTCATTTACTATATTTAATAAAAAGTGTTTGTTATTTTGCATACAATAAAAGAATCTAAAAATGGAAAAGATGATTGGAGAGACTGGGGAGGATCTTTCTGGGGAGATGAAGAAGGGAATGGTGGTGAGAGAGGCAAAGAAGGTGGACAAGGAAGGGCTGAAAAGGAAGAGGTGAGATAAATCAAAGTGGAATAGACAATGAAAGTGGAAATTAGGAACAAAGAAGAAGTTCTAGAGGTGGATGGATGGCATATAAAATGACTCATGCATGTTTGTATCGTATCTCATACTTAATGTAAAATAAAGTATCACTTATATCTTACTCTGTCTGATCTATAATAAGATGAACACCTCTCCCTAAATTAATAGTACTACTTTCACAAATATTCTTAGATTTTACACTTATATATGAGTATTCAAACCGATGGTATGTGGGATTAGTTTTAAGTGAATGAAAGGTTTCTTTGTTTGGGAGCAGTCATTTATATTGGATCTTTTACAGTTCCTCTAGAGTACGTCTCTTTCTCTCCCTTGAGAGTGATCTCTGGTGGTGGAATTATAGTGAGAATGGTGTTTATTCTGTTGTTTCGTTGTATTCTCTCATGCTTTCTGCTAGTATTCCTTTTGCCTCTTCTTCTTCATTTCCTCCCAATCATTGATCACTGCCTCTCATCTGGGAGAATCTTTTCTTCTTCTACAACAACATTCATACTAGGGTGAACTTCTCTAGGTGTAGGGTGGTCTTGGACCTAGAAATGTTTTGTTGTAGCTTATGTCATGATGGGGAGAAATATACTTCATCTCTTTGTGACCAATGAGGTGGATAAATGCACATGTTATAAGGTTTTAGGGTGGCTTCGATGTACCTTAGTGTTACTGTATATTTTTCTTTGAAAGACAATGGTATTAAAACATCAGAGAATAGTGGGTACTCCAACCAAATTACAATACAGTAGGAGACTCACTTACAAATGATACAATTAGGCGGAGAAACAAACTACTCCTAAAAAGAACAAGAACTCACTACCCAAGCAAGAGAGCACACCCACCTCCAAGATAAGAACTTAAAGTTATTAATCACATCTAAAACACTAAGAGCCTCATCTATGAAAATGAAGCTATTTCTACTTTTCCTAATACACTAGCTAGAGAAGGCCCATATTACAACCCCTAAGTCCTTACCGGTACGATTGCGCAAAACTCTACCAAAATCAGCAAAAAAGATAGCAATATCATGGCTCAAATTAACATCGAAACCTGTCCAAGCCTCTACACCAAGCTAAAGTTTTAGCGCAAAAGGACACTACTGTATATGATTTTAGATCTTGTTAGAAAGTTGGATGTTTGGCAAAGGTGTATACATGTCTTGGTTTTGATCTGGCATGCGATGATCTGATCATTATGGAAATCGTGAAATGATGCCTTATTTTCTAGGAAGGTGGTAAACGTGGAATAGTTGTTTGACCAGTGCATTTTCTTTTTTCTGAAGTGGTATTTTTGTAGGTCTTCTGGGTAATAATGTTATATTTTGAGTGGTAGAAGGATCTCATCCTATGCTTGAATCATTAGGAGCCTGAGGTGTGTTATTGTATGTTGTGTAGTTTTGTACTAATTAAGCTTGGTTCCTAGCTAATTCTCATGGGTGGCCTATGGGATTTTCATTTTCTTTGGAGTTGATATCGTTCTCTCTATTTTAAGATACTTTGTTTTTGGACCCTTGGTATTTGTTTTACCTTGTATTTGGATGTATTTTTGTTTGTTTTGTTGGTTCCACCAGGTTGTTCTGGTACTCTTAGCACCTTTCACCTAATTTTAATTTGTTCTTAGCCTTTTTTTTTCTGTGCGCGTGTGTGCATGGTATCCCTACAATGGTAGATGATACTCATAGGCTTTATTAGATTTATAACAGTTGTAAGGTGTTTAGGGTTTGTCCACCGCGACAAGAAGCCTTGTACAATGATGTTGCAGTGGTTTTAGAGAACTTGCTCACGTGAGCTGAGAGGCTTTGTATATTAGTGTAGTGCTTTAGGGTGTTACGCGTAAGTTATAATCTTCCCTCTTATCCCACTAGGGGAGAGTTATATATAGGGGCCTTTTGGGCCTATGGTGTAGAAATCCTTAGAGGCAGTAACCGACCCCTCATGAATAAGGAAGACTGTTAAGTACCTACTTTTTAGGGGGTCGCGGTACGATTCCTTCTCATCTGACCAATGGGAGATAACAGTACTATAAATGTCACCTATCCCAATGACATGCCCCGTCATTCTGTGAGAATATCTCTTGGGAGATAGCCCGCTAGGAAGAGACCCTAGAGTCACCACTTTTAGGACTCTCACAAATATAACATTACACTGTCTCTCAAGCATTAATGCTTGTAAATGACCAAGTTCTTTAAAGGCTTCCTTCATTTTGGAAGTGAGTTCCTAGCTTGGAGTGAGTCCCTCAACATCAGGCGACCTTATTAATTCGAAACAAGTCCCTCAATTGTGTCCGACCTTATTAAAGCAAGGTGAGTCCTTTAAATTTGGGCGAGTACTTTAGTTGAAGGAAACCTTTTTAGCGTGATGTGAGTCCCTATACTTGGGGTGAATCCCAAGCTGCAGGAGACCTTTTTAATGTGAGGTGAGTCCCTCCTTTTATTCCCCTAAGCCCCATAATTTAGGGGTGAGTCATCTTCCCTTGCCATATGTCTCCTGATTAGCTAAAATGTCAGTTGAGAATGTCAGTCAATCATTCAGATGGTCACTCTTACTTCTATTTAATGTAACCAATGATGGCATATTTTTCGAGGCCTTAAACACTAATGCCACCTGTCAAAAGCGTGTTAAGTTTTTCAAAATTATGGGGGAGCCAAAAAGGTCCCTTGTGGTTTTAACTCCCCTATAAAATTTTCTCCTTCCATTTTATTGCTCTATTTTTCTCTTAAGACTTCTGCTGGCTCATATGAACTGCACAACTCTTCTAAACCTTTGTTTTTTCGTTCACAACTGTTTTCCAAGTATTAATATCCTTTTCTCTATCTTACCTTTATATTGAGTAGGGTATATGAAGAAATATTCTAAATATGTTTTATATTAGTGTAGAGTTGTAGGTTTTGAGAGTTATAGTCACCCTATTTGAAGATTGCAATAGTGGTGGTAATTTCATTTTGTTATACTATTTTCCTAAGAACAAAAAGACAATGGTTTCCTCTTCTGTCGTGCCCAAGGATGCATAGGACATTGTAGCTTATTATACCAATTATCATATCCTCTATTTCTAAACACAAATGAGGGCTTCGTCTTTAGAAGATGGGGAGATGAATATCCTAGAGGCTTGTTCACCGGTGGGGAGGGTGACCAGGCACGTCTCCTTTGATCCTCCCCTTCCCTATTTGTATTTCTACCCCTTTATCAAGGATATATGGATTATTTCCCCTTTACCCTTTTCTATGGAGGTTCTGAGGGTTCTCAATGTCTCTCCCTCCCAAGTATTCCCTAAGAGTTTGGGTTTTTTCAAGGCTTTTGAGATGGTCTATGAAAACATGGAGATTACTCCTACTATATGAGTCTTTTTCTCCTTTTATAATACCAATCCTGCGAATAATAGCTAGGTGTCTTTAGGTGGTCTGCCGGAAAGGCCCCTTTTACATCTTACTCCAACCATTACAAGAATTGGAGAGACAGGTTCGCCCATGTGAGGGGGCAAGAGGGCCTCTTGGAGTGTTGGGGGCTAATGGTGTCTCTCTTTCCCTTAGCATGGACGAATGATCATGTGGCTATCATAGGATACAAAGACAAATACCTTACCCTTGAGGAGGCAAGGGTTTTTCTCCTTCTAGGGAAGTTGAAGTTATGGACTTACACACAATAATTAAACTATGGATAAAGGGTGGCAATCATCTTGCCATTTACCTATGTAAGTTTTGGGTACCATGTCTTATTTTGTAGTTATTTTTAGATAGCATCTATGACCTCTATGCATTGTTTTGTAGATCAGATGAAAAATATTTTTACTGAGGAGAGGAAAAGAAGATGGGAGAGGATCCAAGATGCTCGTAGGGAGATAGATAGTCTCCAGAGTCACCCAAATAACTTTACCATCTAGGAATAAAAGAGTCAAGTTGAGGACCCATCTCCAAATTCTCCCAGTGTGAAAGCGCTCGAGGTTAGAAGAGGGCACTTCTCTTGCTGTTGGTACAACCTCTCATGTTTCAAGGAAGGCGAGCATTCATATTCTACCTGAAAGCAAGTCTCCCCATCTCTTCCTAATTTATGGAGTGCGCTGACGTTGACACTCTCCAATTCAAGAGTTCTCACTTCCCTTTCTCCAAGGAGTTTCCTAGTGATTACCAAGCTCTCCGATCTAAATTGACTAATGTAATTGTAAGCATGACGGATGGCATTCTTTCTGAGGGCATTGATGTTGAACGTTGTTGATAGATAAAATCTAGATAAGGATGAAAAGAAGAAGAATGTGAAGTTCCAAAAGCACGTGGGTAGGTATAATGAGAGCCAGAGGTTGCTGAAGGCCATAGAAAAAGGCAAGGATACTTAGGAGGAAAAACTAGCAAATATGAATGCCAAGGCTACAAAAATCGTTACTAAGGAGAAATCTTTGTGGGAGTCTCCTGATGCTGCCCTCACCTCTAAAAATGAATTGGAGAGGGAGGTGTCATAGCTTATTGATGAGTTGGTGTTGACCTCTAGAATTTATTTTGAGCGGGTAAAAAAGTAGGTTTCCCTCTTCTATCCCAACCTAGACCTGAGCAAATCTGACTTCCTTAAAGGTGTCTACGACGACCAGCTAGTGGATGAAGATGAGTTGGCCCATCCAGAGCCTAAAGATTTTGCTCCCGCCAAGGACACCCAGGATGAGGGCGGGTGATGGGAGGAGGTGAATCTTGAGCCCCTCAACTGGAGGATACCATAAGGGATAGGGAAATTCAAAAGGAGAGTTGATGTTTTGGGTTTTCTTTTACTATTTCTTTGGCCTCTTATTGCTATTTGTTGTATTTATTTTGGCCATTCGGGGGATTTTTGTAATTGTAAAGACAATGATGCCCCTTGGATTGTATTTTATGTTAACAACCTTTATTGTTATTTTTCTGGCCCTTGATTGGGGGACATCTTCTAGCACTGTACTCTCCCCAGGTAAGGCTTATACCTATCAGTTCCCTTACAAAGGAACTATAAGGTACA